CACAACCTGCAGGGGCGGCGTGTACTGGCAGGTGTTTGCTTCGAACCCGAACGGTATCAATTACAAGAACTCGGTCACAAATGGAGGCCTCTTCCAGCTAGCCGCTCGCATTGCACGCGCAACAGGCCAGCAAGGCTACGCAGACTGGGCTGCCAAGGTGTGGGACTGGTGTATCGAGATAGGTCTGATCGGAGACAGATACACCGTGTACGACGGTGCCCATGGCAGTGACGACTGCCGAGAGGTTAACTATGTGGCATTCACCTATACGACAGGCATATTCTTACACGGAGCCGCAGTCATGGCTGAGTACACCGGCGAGAAGCAATGGGCCGATCGCGCTCACAAGTTGCTGGAGGCTGCGGCATACTTCTTTGATAACAATACTCTCTACGAACCAGCTTGCGAGCCGAATGACAGCTGCAACAACGACATGAAGGCATGTGTCTGTCGTGTTCATCGTGGCCGTGGTTGAGCTAACTGAGATTTGAAGTTCCTCAAGGGATACCTCGCTCGCTTCATGTGGCAGTCTACGTATCACCTTCCTTCCCTTTTGCCCCAGGTCAAAAATCTTCTCGAACCTTCGGCACTCGCCGCGGCGCAAGCTTGTTCGGGTGGTGAGAATAGTGTCACCTGCGGTCAGAAGTGGAACATGGGCGGGTTTGATGGCCGTGTAGGTTTGGGGCAGCAAATGTGCGCTCTCGAGACTATACAGGGACTGCTCATTGGAGAATCACGGTCACCTCTAGGTGATGGTGAGATAGACCCAGCGCGGCACGCGGGCTGGAACGGCAGAAGAACCGCACCGACAGCCCCGACGAACCAAAGTGTGTTCGACCCTGGTAAGACACTTGCCTTCAAAAGCCCAGAGTGCAACTTATCATCATGCTTGATCATCCCTTTTGAACAGGATGACTAACGCTGGAGATTGACAGAAGAAGAGGTAGATGTGCACAACGAAGGGGGCCATCACGATGAGACGAGTGGAGGCAGAACCACGATAGGTGGACTTGCTTCGCCAAGCTGGATTGGTGTCTGCGCTGCTACCCTCGCTGGGTCTTGCTATATCTTGGTATAGGGCCTGCTGCACGCGGGGGCTTGCTGGTTTCTTTATGAGACGACATCCTTTCTGTGGCATGAGTCCTGTACCGAGATCAATTGGACGTGTCATGCATTAATCATCCTTTCAGAGTGTTCCAATCGATAAAACATCAGTAGCGAGGGGTGAGAATATCAGCTATTCAGCAGAAATTTTACCGCAAAACAGTGACTAGACAATGATCGAAAGAGTGTGTATGGGAAGCGAAGGCATCCTGCAACGGCGGATCACTACCACTGGCGTGTGATTGTGAGGCATGAAGTCTCTATAACCTCGCCAGCTTACTTAATCTCCAACACCCACCGGCCACTAAAACGCACTGCAAACCCCTGTGGCGCACTCAAACCCCTGCGGCTGATGCGGCATAACCCGTGCGAACCCCACCAGCTGTCCGCACCACTGGGCCAAGGATCGCCATTCTGCCATCGCCAGGTATTTGAAAGCATGCGGAGGGACTATTACAGCGATTAACAGATATGTCTCTGCTTCTTGGAAAAGGAGCCTCTTTTTGAGGTTTTTCGTGACTAGAATGGGGAGCGTACTGGGTGTTTGGAGATGCGGATGCGACGGAGTCAAGTATGCCTCTGACTGCGTCGTCCCTCCGCGGCTGAGGACCTTGGGAGGCTCGGCGTTGATCATCGTGTGGTCATGATGAGCCTGAGAGCCTAGGCCCCGATATTACACAATCAGAAGCGCCGCCCCAAAAGATGCTGATCTGCAAAATCATTGACACACGACATGTAAGGCGCGAGGTAGCCAAGTGTCATCGTGATATTGGAAGGGATCTTCAGCCCGTTTCTTCGTAATTCAACGCTAATGGGGGGGTATAACTCCAGAAAAGGGAGTGAGTACATCGTAAGACAGCATTCTGAAGCTGTCAATGGCATGGCTCTGCCACGGTAAAGCAAAAAACCGCCCTACTCCAATCCGGTACGTAATGCTGGCGCGTGCCGTTCACCAACCTTCATGACGTGACAACGTCGTCAAGTCGGTCCTTAGTAAGCGTCGTATACTGCTCACATCTTGGCCATGCGCCGGATGTGTTAGTGCTTTTCTCTATCCACCTTGAATAGTCCGTTCGGGCTATACAACAAGGGCTGTCAGAAGCATGCAGCCTAATGAACCAGCCCACAGCCAAGTGCTTTCAAGTCGCGCCCCGCTGTTGAGCCCTGTCTCGACAGGCAGCGAGCTGGTGGGTAATGTGCCGTCAAAGAGAAAATCTTCGGTGAAATTGGGGTCTCCGGTGGCCTGGGCGGTGCCGGAGACATCATCAGGAGCGCCCGTTTTCGAAGGCTGGTCGGCAAGGGTTAGGGTGCCCCATTGAACCTCCGAGCCACTAAGTGTTGATGTCCAGCTGATTTCCGTCGGGCCAGTGTAAAGACCGGCGACAAAGCCAGACTTCAAGCTAGAGTATGCCGAGCATGTCGCCGCTGTGGTGCCGCCTAATTTACATTCAAGGTTCGCAGTACTGTAACATGTCAGAAGGACTTCTATCGAATGAACTGGCAGGCTCATGAGAGACAAGGCGTACTAGGTGGAAGTGAGGGTGCCCTCGAAGCGGAGGGTGTTGTCGCCTTCAGCAAATATGAATGGAAGTTCGAGAGCCAGATCGCAGCTGGGCGTGGTCTGCGGCGCGCAGAAGATTGTATACGTAGTTTCGTCGGGTTTCTGCTCGCAGATGTGGTAAGCCAATGCTCAGAGAGGATGATTGTCAGGGCGAACATACACTTGTGATGACGCTGCCCCGCACAAGAGACCATGATTTGGCATCATAGTATGGTAGGAAGATGGGAACGGTTCCCTGATCTGCGGCATGGGCCCCAATGGCGAAGAGGCATGTAGAAAGCAGGGCGACAAAGGGCGAAAGGCGTTGCATGTTGGCGGTTCCTGGGGGGTTGTGGCGGCACTGTCGTCGGGAGGGAGGGATCCAGTCGCGCAAAGAAGCGACGGCGACGAGCTATCCTCTCGCCGCCAATAGCCTGCACCGATTGACAGCTAGTAATTGACGATAATGTGACGTAGGGCTGGAAACGTCTAGCTGAATATTGTTCTCTCAATACGCGCTGCGGAACAGAGAACGAGTCGGCTGGCGGGGATTGGTTGTCGGTTGAGAAGACGTAACGGCAGTTCGAGGGAGCGTGTTGGGGGTTGGTGGGCTGTCGAGATAGAACCGGGGCCTCTCAAAAACAGATATACCAGCAGATGTGCTGGGAGAGGAAGGGACAGATAAAAATATAGATGTAATCTCTCGAGGACAGGCATGGGCAGCTGAGGGTCTCAGCATTGAAGAATGAAACACCATGCGCGGTACAACGCCATTGGCGGTGGTGACGGGGACCTCTGGACAGTGCAAGGGCGCCGGAGGGAAAAGGAGGGGGGCGATGCTCGCGAACGGTCTAGGGCCGCTGGGCTCTCGCTGGGCAGTGCTGGGCGCCGGACTCTGGGCGCTGGGCGGGCGACTGGCTATCGTTTCCACTGAGGGATTGCCGTAATTGCCGTCGTTTGTAGTTACAAAGTTAAGTGAAGCCAAGACGCAGCCAAGGAGACGCGTGAGCCAAGCCCAGACATGCGGCGGGCGATGGCAGACAGCAGAGGCGAAAGGATGGAGGAGAAAAGCAAAAGGCGAAAGGCAAAAGGGCCACAGCGCAGGCGATCTGAAGCACCTGGCGCATGATGAGTTGCCAAGTGCAAACGCCAAGCGCGCTGGCGACTTTGTGACCAATGCCCAGCAGGCCGCCAAGAAACCGAACTCATGTTTTAGAGGGAAAAAGGAAGAGAGCCAAGACTTTCAAATGTCAAGCACCACCAGAACGACGACGTGGAAGAGGAAGGTCCTGCTCACTGGCGCTGCTGCACCCCGTCCCCATCATCTCCTAGTCCGAGCTCGCCATTGGCTCCCCTGGCAAGTTCCGGGTGGTAGGAGCTCCGCACCCAAAGCGGCACTTGCCTGATCCACCTCGCTGCTCTTACCTGCTGTCGCCTTGCACTGGTCGTTGCTGCCGTTCTTCTGGTTCCTGACCTAGCTGCTTTGCTGGAGCACTCCCTCCTCCTCTCCGTCCCGCCTTTTTTGCCATTTCCTCATCTCACGATGCCCTCAGACGGCCAATATCCTAGCTAGCTCCCAAGGTAATCTCTCGCGTTCACCAACAAGACTTATCGACTTGATGGCGTGGTGCAGTCTGCAGGCCAAGGCCCTGACTTCTGTCTCGGACGCTTCGGAGTGTCCCAGTCTCGCCCAGCCCTCTCTTACCGTCGAGTGGCGCCAGCAGTTCATTCACATATGAGGGCAACTATCTGCTCGGTATCACCTCATGTTTCCGTAACCGGGCAGGCCAGAAGCCACCAAGACATTCTGGTAGACTAAGGTACTGAGCTGAGCGCCGTCCCGAGCTTTCACTCCTTTTCCATTAGGTACAGTAGCCCGGACCCCCCCGCCAAATCCCATCCACTTTGTTTTTAGGCCCCGCTACGCTTTTCCTCCAAGATCCCTTGAAAGTCAAATGCATAGCAATCTGGAGGCACCAGATCTTGAGTGCTTCAGAACACCACACATCCTGCCAATTCAGGCACATAAAGCCATCATGATGCTATCTTCGCTGAGCTGCCACGCACTCTTTCGCGCTCTCGCACTCTCTTGATGAGCTGCCACAAGTCTCCAGCGCAATTATCGTCCCCATCGACTTCCCTCAACCACTAGCGACATCGCATCTCTTTTGTGACGCAGGCAGGGGTTGTCACTCGATCCTTCGGGTTTGATTGCCGGCACCAATTCGGCTCTGAATTTCTTGTAGAAGAACAGCAGCGTCGCAACATCGCGCCATCCTGCTTTTTCTGAGATTTTGCTCCTTTCCTTCACCCATTCGCGCCCTAGCTTTTTTGCTCGCCCACCACACTCGTTGCAATGTTCCACAACGCTTCCAAGCTCGCGCTCCTGGCGGTTTTCGGCGTCGCCGCCGCTGAGGAAGCCGTGATCTCGCTTTTTATTCCTCTCTTTGCCCCTAACTACGTCGTGGCCTCTGTTGTCGATGTAGGCGCCGACGAGACGACATTTGCTCTCGCCTGCCACTCTCAAGTGCCCCAGACTGAATGCGGCATCAGCAACCCTGTTCAGCTGGTCGCGGGCCCTTCGACTATGGCTCTCACTGCCACCCTCGACTACACGTCTGCGTACGTACAGAATCCCTCGCTCGATGTCAAGTACGAGTGGGTTCCGCCAGAGAGCTTATAGGACCATGACTCTAGCCCGTCAATGACCATAACTGCCGACTGCGCTATCAACGTCGATGCCAATGAGGCTACCTGCACGCAGTACCAGGCGGAGGGCAGCATGACCTACAGCGAGTCGACCGTTGTGTCGGAAATAGATGCTTACTACTTGCCCCTCACCATCACCGCCGGCGCCGAGAAGCTTACCGACGTACCCGCTGCCACGACAACCCCGGCGACCCTTCCCACCGCGACGGAGACCTCTACCGGAACCTCTGCAACCCCTGCTGATTCTTCCTCCGAGTCTTCTGACGAGTCTTCCGTTGTGGCAGGCGAGTCATCAACGACGACCGCCGCGGGTGAGGCTGTGACGACGACCGAAGCTGGCAACACGGCGCTTCCCCGAATGACCCAAAACGCCGTTCTGGCAGGTATTGCTGCCGTCGTCGGCGGTGCCATGGTGCTGTAAGATGTGTTGTTCTGCGCGTGGGTAGGAGTGGGGTGTATTTTGTGTACCATAATATCGTCACGTTCGCACATAGACAAGATGGCCATAATATCCGAGCAGTATCGCACAAACTCCTATTTCCTGGGCCTGATTGCCGACTTGCACAGTCAGCTTGAATCTCCCCTTCCTAACCTGCGCGTGTACAGCAAAGACTAATACACGCAGCCACGTCTTTCAGAGTCACGACCACCTCTCGGGTATGCCTTTTAAGTGATGACAGCGAGTCGTACTTTACTCCCTGCTAGGCTTCTCGGTTTCACCTAAGTGCCAGTCGGGACATGCTACATTATGATTACAAGAGAGACTGCCATAGCACTTATTATTTTCACGACTCTCTTCTTCGTCGGCCTCACTGGCTGGACCTACTGGCGGATCACCATGTCGCCCCGGGCAATGGAGCGCGGTTGTCAGGAGCAGCGGGCAGACCGGCCTGACGAGATGCCGGGTGTTTGAAGAGCGATGGCTTGGATGTGATGTGGTTTCCTTTTTTCTGCATCAACCGGAGGACTTGCGCCAGTTTTTATTCAGATGAACCTTGACAAACCCTGGGGTTGTACACATCTATGTCGCTGGAGCAATGGAATAATTCTCAATAATACGTTCATTGTACCTTGCATTCATGCTACGTGACTCTCACAGCGCTTCATGGGCTACAATCGTCTCAAGGTGTAGCTGTTCGATCTGTCTGGTGTTTCTCGTCCCCTGCCTAGTCGTAAGACTGGACATACCATACTGGACATCGCGGAAGCATGAAGGCTTGTGATGCAAGGTTCATAAGAGAGACACGTTAATGTATCACTTGGAAGACGTCTTACGAGACCGGGCACGACAGATTGAAAGCGATTGCAGCCTGCGAGGGCTGCCTGCGACGGCTTTGGCGATAATCCAGGAAAACGTACGCTGGTCTGTGAGTACACTCAACAAGCGCCAAAGGAGCATGAGTAGGACAGACGCCACGGGAATGCAGGAAGGGTGTGATAAGCCATGCCAAATGCGAAATGCTGCAAAGCGCCGTCCGATGAGAAGAAGAGACGCATGATCATGGCATGCCAGCAGGACTCGACAACGTGGCTCGCTTCAGTAGCGCACTCGATCCTCGCGCCCATCGAGCCAGCTTGTGCAGTTGATGCAACGAATCGACTGCGCAGTCGTCAGTAAAGATGCGAACGGGTGGAAAAAACAGGGGTTGGGCCACCGCAGCGTACCACTTCGTTGACACGCTTCCTGCAGTACTTGCACTTTTTCGTGTGCTTGATGATGGGGTCGGTCGAGAAGAGCTGGTAGAAGTGGGCGAGGCCCCAGAGGGAGAGGCCCACGCAGAAGAAGCTGACGAGTTGGTTGAAGAATGAACTGTCAGAAAGGTTAGCAACAGTACCTCCATCTCGAGCGCTTCCCATGTTGCATAATTCGCCCAGCAGCGGTGCCTTCATGGGACTGAACAATCTGTACAGAGCGCAGAGGAATGGCGTACTGACCCATACGCCAAGACGACAGCGCCGTCATCCTTTGCGCGCGCGAGCGTGGTGTAGCCGTCCTCGCGGTTGTAGTCAGGTCCAGGTTTGAGAACCGCAAACTTCTCCTCCATGTTGTGGTTGAGGGGGAAGATGACGGACAGCGGCGGCATGAGAATGTTGGCGACGAAAGAGTTGACAAGGCCGGTGAAGGCAGCGGCTAGGCTAAGGAGTATGTGAATACAAGAGCCCCGCGATACAGGCCATGCTGGCAGAGGATCACGTCAGCACTCACATCAGACCGAAGGCGATCTCGAGGATGTTGCCCTGCATGGCAAAGTCAATGAAGCCGGACCACAGGCGGCGAGCCCTATCGCCGCCTCGGGACAGAAGGCTTTCCTCTTCATCGCTGTCGGCAAACGGAGGAGACGGCATGACGCAGTTGCACACACTGCAGACGGCGGGATGTGTATGCGTTTTGACGGTTGGGCGGTCTTGAAAATAAAAAGCACGTCCCGATGGCCGAGATCGGGGTGAGGGGGAGGAGCGACGAGCCGAGGCAAGCTACGATGGTTTGGTTCTGACGGCGTTGGTGCAACGGGCTGGACACGGCGCTGACGTCTGAAAGACCGGGAGCAATGCAACTCTCTTTCGAGCGAAGCACGAGACAGAAACACTGCACACAGCGAGAAAAAAAGGCTCAAAGCATGAGGCGGTCACGGTTGGGGCTGGTGAGGTTCAAAATGGGAAATTGGAGGCTGGAGGTTGGAGGCCGGAGGCTGACAGCAGGAAGCTGCTTCAAGATGGGGGTCCAACTCTAGGAAGGCAGGCAAATGCTGTGACAAAAGATGAGGGGTCACGCGCTAGACGGATTTCATGCGGGGACGCGGTTCAGGGTCTTGGCACTTGGTCTTGTAGGGGATAGTCCAGCACCTCGAGTTAGGCGAGAACCACTGGAGTCAGGCGAGAAGCACTGGAGCCAGGCGAGAAGCACTGGAGCCAGGCGAGAAGCACTGGAGCCAGGCGAGAACCCTACGATTGACTGAATCAACAGCCACGAATCGTTGACGGAGTTGGGCCAAGCCACACGACTCCCACATGATTGGCTTGGCCAATTGTTTTGCTCAGGTCCAGCCCCTTCACATGTTTCTCAGCCACATTCTGCTGGTATGACGGCATGTCAACAGACGTCATGGTCAACATCTCGCGCGCGCGCCCTCGCCCACGCCGCCTGGTCGTCAATTTGGCCTAGCATTCTCCTGCCATCTACTCCTCTCAAGGCACCACGTTCCCAATGATGGATGGAATTCCTCAACCTGCCAAATGCTCAGCACGTCAAACCTCGAAATGAGCGATGCCTCTTCCCTGATGTGGATGGGCCTGTTGCTTTGCATGCGACTGGGTCAAGATCTGCGACTGGGTCAAGATCTCCCAGGAAAGAAAACAATGACGTCCCAAATGGCACCCTACCAAGCCTACTACCTTGAACCCCTGCTAGGTAAGGTACCTACGTGTCAATGGGCCGGCAGTGCAGTGAATACAACCCCATCTTCTGGATCCAGGTCTCGATCACCAGGTTGCCGTGTTTTCTTTGGTTGGCTACAAACCGACCAGGGGTGCATGATCTACCTTTCTTACCCGTTTGCCAAGTTGTTTGAGACTCCTGATTCACCCTGGCCCTTAACCGGGTCGCCAGCTCAGGTTGGCAGGCTAAGGGATGGTAGTTGCATCATCGGCGAAGCCGTTTGGTACTAACCTTGCTCTAGCCAAGACCTAAAATAGGTTACTGTCTCGCTGGTGCCCCCCATCTGGCATGTCCATGTTGAACACTCAGCATATCGTCTTTTTCGTGCCGCTCTTGGCTTCCTCGCGATTAACCTCCCCTCCCTTAATCTGTGTCAGAGAGAACACTACCGGTAGGGACACCAGAACACGAAGTACACGGCAAGGAACGATTGCGCCCGTTTCTACAGCAATTCTGATCAAATCGCCAAACAAGGCGTGCGTGATAAACAACCGCCAAGATGATGCGCTGTACGGTCATCCTGCCGTTCCTCCTCTCCGTGGCGGCCTTTGTCATATCCTTCCTCCTCCTCTTCGCCGGCCATAAGGAGGGCTTCATGGAGGACTATTCCATCATCAGGGTGCGTAGCTGCCATGTCGCCTTTGGGCGGACGACGCCCTTCAAGCTAACCGGCCTCTCCAGCTCAACACGTCCACTCTCGGATACGACGTGTTGTCCCGTGCCACGAGCGATGGCGACCAAGACCGCGGTGGCATCGGCGGCTTCATCGATGACCTCTCGGACGGTGTGACGGAATTCATCAACGACCTTGGAAACAATATTGTCGACCACTTTAGCGATGAGCTCGGCATCTCTCAGTGGTACTCCATCCACCTGATGACCATGTGTAGCGGCGACTACGCCCCCAACGCCACCGACCCCGACGCCAACCACAACGTCACCAGCTGCACCAAGCAGAAGCCTGCCAGTACGTCGATATTTCTGACGCTCGCCCAACCCTCTCCCTAACCGCTTGCCCAACGCGTTTTCCATGCTCCAAAGCTAACCACGGCCGCCCCAGACCGCGTCAACCTCACCGAGATTCTCGACCAGGAACTCGCGATCGGCCCCCTGAACCTCTCCCTCGCCGACATCAACTGGCCCGACGCCATCCAGGACCAGATCGACACGGTCAACAAGGCCCTCCTCGCCGTCTTCATCCTCTACACCCTGGCCATCGGCTTCTCGGGCCTCGCCATGCTCGGCGCCGTCGCCGCCTTCTTCCTCGACCCCCGCCGCAAGCTCGCCTCCCTGACCAACCTGCTCCTCACCCTGCTCGCCGCCATCGTCCTGCTCGCCGGCAGCATCGGCATCATGATCGGCAGCCGCAAGGGCGCCAGGGAGCTGAACAGGGTCGGCGAGGTCGTCGGCCTCGAGGCCGAGGCAGGGGGCGGCTTCATCGCCCTGTCGTGGGCCGCCTTTGCCGTCATGGCCGCGGCTGTCATATACTGGGTCGCCATGTTCTGCCTCGGCAGGGTGCAGAAGAGGAGGGGGTACTCTGAGAAGCGGGGCGGCAGGTACTGAGGCGAGTGTTGCTGCTCAGGTGTTTTCTTTTTATTTGTGTAGTTGAGCTGGTTCCAGTCGTTTGAATAGTTGAGCTGATTCCAATTCCTCGATGGCTTGATATAGAATTAAATATGGACATGTCGCCGGCTAGCCTTTTTGTTACGCCTTTGTTAGCGGTTGAGCGAGGCGTCTTTTACCTTGCGAGGTAAGGGGGGAGCCCTTCTGCTTTTTGGATGCATGATGGCATCCGGTATCTGGCATACTAGGAATATACCTGTAGCTCACGATCTAGAAATGAATGATTTTTTCTTCTGATGCAGTTGGATCCGTAATAAAGATATGGAAGGCTCGATTAATACACACCTATCTTCCCTAACATTGTAGTCCTCAGGTCGCTGGCGAGGCAGTTAGCTCCGCTATAACCATGAGATATCATGATTTGTTACAGACCATGGCGCAAAGAGAGTCTAGCAGGTAAATTACATCAAGGCGTGTGGAAGCCCAGGTCTATGTTCATATATGTCTTTCCGTATCGTCTCTTTCCACGGTAATGAACCGTCCCTTGCCAGCCCGCTTGCCCACGATTCGTTTCTCCACCTGCTCCGCGACAGCGATTGCCTTGGCCCGCGCCTCGCGGTCTGCCTCGGGCGTATTCTCGCTTATAGGAAAACCATACCGGAGTCTCAGCGTCGTCATCTTGCCCCAGTGCCCCTCCCAGTCGATCCTGTCGCCGTCTTGATCGTACGTGAGCACAGAGTACCATGCCGAGCACCCGGTCAGGTCGAGGTACTCCAGTCCGTAGAGATACTTGCTCAACCTGCGCAGCAGGATGATGGCCTCTGTCCAGTCGTCGTCCAGGGTATGCGAGTAGGGCCCCGTGCCGCTGTAGGGCACGTCGCGACCCTGCGCGCCAGCGATTGTCGAGAATTTGGCGTTCGGGGTGAGCGAGGGCTCAGGCCAGTAGGCCAGGCTGAGATGCGTGAGGGTCGGGACCTTGGCCGCCAGCGCAAGCAGCTGCTTCCACGAAGCGGTGGGGGTGTTCGAGGGGCGAATGGCGAGCGACAGGTGTGTCAATTTGGGGAGGAGCCTGGGCGGCAAAGACGGCGCGTCAGCCGTGTCCCAGGAGTCCTGCACGACCTCGACGGTGCGGGCGAGCCGTGGGGGAAAGAGCACGTCTGTCAGCTCGCGGACGGACAGACTGTGTGTGATGGAGCCGGACAGATCGAGACAGTAGAGGTCATTGTTGAGCTCGTTGACGGCCTCGACACTAGGATCTGCGTCCCCTTCTTCGTCATAGCCTCCACCCTGCGGTAGGACCAAGAGCCTGATGTCGCTGGCCGTGACACCACGCTCCCCGTACGTGCCAATGTACGCGATCAGAGACGAGCGCAGACGACTGTGCAGGGAGCTCAGATAGTGCTGATTGTAGACGCCCTGGAACTCCCACTCCAGAGCCATCTTTCTCAACAGCAGGTCTGTCATGGAGCCTCGATCGGGCGCATATGTGCCGGGCAATTGGTGGAACTCTGCATGTACCGCATGATCGGTCGAGTGACCGCCCAGCTGACGGGCGAGGTTTCTGCGCTGGGCGCTCCAGCTCTGGGGAGCGCGAGGACCGGGTGGCAGCCTCCTGCCGTTGGCATCATTCCTGGGCGGCCTCCTCGGTAAGGGTGGAGGAGTTTCTGGGATCTGGAGGATCTGTCGCAAGTTTGGGGGAAGGGTGATCGGGCCGCTGGACGATGTCGTAGACGCAAAGGCGGAGGAGGTAGGAGCCGAGGAGAGGGTGTGGTTGGACGAAGCTAGAGAGGCTCGACGCAGGTCAGCCAGCAACTGGTTGACGCCTCTCGTCTGAGTCTCTGCCCAAGACACAGGTCTGGTTAGCGAATAATGGTCGTCTAAAGATGCTCGAAAGGATACGGCCAGCTGAGGCGAGGCGAGGAGGGGTGCGGAGGGAGAGGGGAGGGGGAGGGGGGGCATGAGGTACCTGGAGGGATGGGCCTGGAAGCGGATGCGCCGAGAGATGCCGGAGCGGTGGATTGCGGTTTTGCAAACTTGGCTTGATGTTTCTTCTTAGGCATTGCCGGCGAGGAGGAGAGCGGCTGGGCAAAGCTCGAAGCTGCTTGGATCAAGGCCAGCGGACACGGCAAGCCATGAGGTACCTAAATGCAGAACCTCTTGTCGAGCCAAGCGCCGTAACAGGCGATGCCCGGGGCAGGCAGTGAGAAAGGACAAAAGGACAGAATGTTGTTCGTAGGATGAACGGAACGTGTGACAACAGTCAGCCAGCGTCATCCGCAGGTGCTGACTGATGATCCCATTCGTGTCCCGTCTCGAGCTGATGACTCACATGCTGCTACCGTACCCCTCCTTCCGGACCTCCCTGAGATCACCCCCACTGGGACCGCTGAGGCCGCTGAGGCCACTGAGGCCGCCGTGGCGAGGGGCCAGACGCCCCACCACGTCAGGGGGTGTTGTGCAGGGAATGAGGCGGGGTGTCCCGTCGGGTCAGGGGCTGGTAGGGGCTGTCATCCGGTAGAAGGTACCTGTACCTACCTACCTACGAGAGGTACCTGTGACCTAGGACCTCAGTCACTGCCAGATCCCACTGCTTGCCTGGGCGGGCATGGAAGTGTGCCACCTCACTCACACACAAAAAAACAAACACCTGGTCCATGCACTCTGTCCACCTTGCCGGCGCTTTCACTCTGTGGAAGGGAGGGCGCGGGATCCCATCCGTCCTCTGTCGAATGACATGCTGACATGCTTTCTTTGGAGTCCTTGACTTCCATATACTAGACCTACGCGGTAAGGCACAAATCGCGGCGAACTGGTGCCTTCATGGCTATCTGTGCCGCCTTTTGTCTACATGCATTTTTTCTTCGTCGGCGTCGTTTCCACTTCTTGCTTGCTGACGCCCGACGACACCAGCGCTTCGTGATGGAGTCTCTGCTCGAGGCCCAAAAGGGAGCGTTTCTGCCCGAGGCGGCCACGCGAGTCACCAGCCAGCGGGCAGTCAAGCTAAGGTAGCTTTTTTATCAGCACACCCGATTGCCGATCGACAGCGTGAAGGAGCTTGATACGACATGGTAAGCCTGGGCCAGCTCAGGCGTCATAATCAAGTCCGTTTCGTGCTTCGATCTTGCCTACACGCGCCCGCCCGTCTTAACTTTATCACCACGTTCGTCCCTGGGAACCAGTGGGTCTGGATCAACTATCCAGCTGACAGCCATGGCACGAAGGCTCATTTTGAGGCTGGGGACTTCACGTGAGCATCGAGTGGTTTCCAAGGCTGCTCAGTAGTGAATCCAGTTTGCCCTCAGTGTTACTTCCCCATTGGACCCGTAGCCAGTACTTCCAGACACCAGTTTAGAGAAAGACCCCATGCAGGCTATCAGCCGCTGCGATCCTTCGCATTGCAGGATCCGGCTCCATTGGGCCTGCTCCCTCGGCCTCCCATTGCTGACGCTGGCGGTGCCATTCGCCGCCCAAAATTAGCCCTCCTATTGTCGACGGGTAGCGGCACCATTAGCCTTAGTGATGATTGGAGACACACATGTGCGTCCACGTCGGTCGAGAAGGGCACCCACCGAGGGGGCGGGCTAGCCGGTCGTTAATCTTAGTTCACCACTCGGTGCGCAGCGAAGAAAGAAGGCCACTGAGCTGGACGTTCAGGGGTAGGCCGAAGAGATGGCGTGACTCCTGTAAAGGCCAAACCTGGCCCTCATGACGCCCCTGACGGGTGGCATGGCACACGCCCGGCCGTCCAAGTGACGATTTCATGTGTCAAAGTCTGAAGATCTTGTTCAACGTTGCATGCCCACGTCGCGTGGTCATTGGAAGGGCCCTTTGGGGTCTGAAACCAGAGATGGGAAGAGCTGGCAGGTTTGTACAACTCACACGGTGTTTGCGACGGCCCCCTTTGGCGCTTTGAGAAAGTTGATCTTCGTCTCGGTCAAGGCGAATGGGGAATGGCTTGTTCGATACTGGCTTTTGGCACGTCGAACCCATTGGGCCCGGAGTTGGCCGACTATAGCAGAGACAGCCTCCAGGTCAACAGCTGCCGCAAAGACAGGCCGGCATGTGGTCTTGACTGCGCTGCGTGGCGGGATTTGAGACCACTCCTCTGGCGGCACCGCAGGACCATGGCCTGATTTCATGTGGCCAGATTGCCGGCCGGGAGGAGAGAAGCCAGGTGAATTTGGCGGGATGGGTTGGACAAGAAAGAGAGCCAGACCCCAATGCGGAAAGAGAAAGCGAACAGATCCGGAAACGTTCTGTTCTGACAGTTCGGTCCGATGCCCAAGAGTAACCGCAAGTATGTACCAGAATGGTCTTGAACACTCCTTGCCGTGCCCTTCAAGAGCTCCATGCCGGTAGTTGAACAGCCGAAACCCGTATAAGTCGTGATCGTCCCGGGGGCTTGGTTCAAGGTGTGCCTTTCATCTCCACGGGTTTCGAATGATTGCGCAGATCCTAAAATTGTGGTCGTCAATGACTGACAGCAAGAAGTATGGTCTTTGGCGGGTCCAGAATCGAGGCTCGCCTCATCCGGCCGTCAAAGTGGTATTCGTCCACAGTCTCCATGTCCACGCCATGAGGCGAAGATATTTCTGGCAGGTCCAGAGTTTCATGGTGAACTTAGTCGTCGAAAGGGGGCCAGTTTCGCGTGAGATGCTGTCCGCCCTAACGCTGGTATGATCCGCCCTTCAGCAAAGGACTGGTCACTTGAGTCAAATGGTACGACTCGGGCCGATCCGTCTTTTGACAATTGCGCAAGCTCGGTGAATCCCAGTACACCTACCTAGGTACCTAAAGGCCAACTAGGCAGCAGAAAAGCACCGTGGCCGACAGGTCAACTCTCAAACAACCAGGCTCCAAAAGAGCCTGTGGCCATGGCACTTGCAATTTTGTTCGACGGGGCAGAATTTTGGTGATAGCCTGTCTACCTGTTTCTCATCTCGGAGAGAAGCTATAGCCAGAACGAGCAGTGAAAAAAAGCGAGCCTAGTTGTAGTTGGGTGCGAATCATCGATCTGCATGTGGTTGAGATATGCCAGTAGCCGAGCGTCATGTTGACCCGGAGATCGTATCCCACGGTACCTTACTCTAGGGACCTACATCACATACCTACCTACTTTGGATCATAACAAGCCGGCATTGGTCGCCATGACTCTCTTCAGGACCTATCAAGCCTGCCATACCAAGCGTACCCAAGGTCGGTATGTAGCCATCTAAAAATAAAAGACCTGCGGCCAGAGAGCACAGGTGAAGAAAGAAAAAATGGCTGCCGCCTGTGATGATCCTGTGGAAAGTGCCACCTGACAGCCCCCTTCCTCTAGCCTCCACTGAATTGTGTCAAAGGCGCCAAGGGATCCATGGGTCTCCGATGCCGCTTTCCAAGTTGATCAAGGTCCACTCAGCGCGATACTTTCCCCTCCCTCCCAAGGCAGTCACCGGCCTACCTTACCTCAGGTAGGTACCGTACCTAGGTACCTAGGTACCTAGGTAAGGCACCTAGGAACGTGGCATGCTCATTCAACTTTCGACATCCTAGGCACCGTTCCAACAATCATAATATTCGGGACCATTCACTCGGTTCGGGCCCTGGAAGTATCCAGAACATGGCGCAATAGCCATCAAGTCAACCACGGGTCCCGCCGCTTACCGACAATCACTCCAATAAGGTTACTAGAACTACCTTTCCACGGTGCCATACCTAGGTAGGTAGGTAGGTGCTGGACGACACGATGTTGTTATGGTCCGGCAAACAAAGTTGGTACCGCCCACCTTCTCAAACCATCTGAGCGCTCAGTGCGGCTCCATGTGCGGCCTCCTGCGTGTCCGCTGAAGACTATGCCAACATGGGCGCCCACGTCCTTGTGTCTTGCCCGCCTGAGCATCTGCAAGCCAAGTCACCACGGAATCAATCTTTGCAGTAAAGCAATCCCGAAAAAAATGTCGTTCGTCTCTCCAGTCCATGGACTTGATGACGTATCACCTGGTACAAGATCCAAGGCAATCGGTGAATGCAGAAGCATGGGGACGTCGTAACCATGGTCTTCCTCCTGCGAACCTTGACGCCGCTTCACCGACGGCTTTTACCGAGAAAAGACACATACATTTCAGGGGCATACCATCAGTCATGGTGCTATTGCGGACAGGAGACTAGCTGAGCGGTCCACAGGGCGACTCAATCATGCCGTTAGTCTCGATTCATCAACGAGTCCAACAATGAACTGGAAGAGATTACGGCTTGATCCGACATCCGGAATACCCCATGTCGGTATTGTCCTCTTGAACTATGATCCGTCCTTACTTTACATGCAACATTGGGCTCGCTCCTAGCGAGTGTGTTGGTAGCTCGTTTCACTCCACGGTGTCAATGATCCGGCCAATGCACCTCCCTTCCTGACCACAATGGATGGACTTCTTTCTGGCTGATATCTGCCCGCCCCAATGATGATTCAGACCTATTATGTCTGCAGCAGCCAAACTAGGAACAGGTATGCATACGGTAGGCCGCTCCAGATTTGACGAATACGTATTCATTGTCTACATTCATGATTCGCGAAAGAGCTCATTCTAATCCACGGGAACCTGCGGCGAAGACGCTGCAGCAGATGCATCGTACCCGCCCGGCCGCCTTCCTCGACACGAAAAAGCGCAGAACTCCTCCATGTTCCTGACGGGGAACCAAAAACTGCCCTGTGCGTTAGAATGGCCTTGTATGGCCGAAGACCCAGACTACTGGTGCAGCCAAGACTGCTCAACATTCTCGGGTAATCGCTTTTGCCATTGGCCCACTAAGCAGAAAGACGGGCAGGCCAACCGATCAGTCGCTTGTTCAAGAGATGTTCCCTGTCTGGGAGTGCCCTGAAGTCTCTCCCCGAGGTTTGTTTCTAACAGCGGGCAATCAGCTGTGCCAGTCCTGTACGCTGGGTTGCCCTACCTTTGAAGCTATGTTGCTTCACGCCTCTTCATATCAGACGACCATCCCGGGCCTAGTCCCAATCCTGAACGGCTTGAATTCTTGAGAAGATCGGCGGAGAGAGTCGCTGAATCTTAATTCTACGATCAGACTGAGTATCTCGTTGATTGTCTCCCAGACTTGGGCTAGGCATTAAACCATCAGAAATCGGTGAAGCTGCTCGGTGGCTGGTGCCTCCTGAACCACCCTCCCCGGTCCCTTTTCGGTATCTTCCGTCGAGGCCCACTTCTTCGTAGAAGAGATCAGCAGATATTGGTAGACATGGCCTAGAACCAGTCAGCTATCTGAGACCTCTGGGAGAAATCTAGGCGTATGAGACGACAACAAAAGCCTACGCCATAACGTCAGTTACTCTCCGCATGTTCCAGTGACGTTGGAAAACTCGTGGCCGACTCACAGCATCAGACAATCCCCAGTTCAGGTGGCGGAGTGTACCAGCTAACCATCCATGAATCTTGGCTCCACGGCTGCAGCTTGCCGCAACAGACCATTCGTTAGCCAGGGAAGATCCTTCCCAATCAAATCATGTTTGTAGCGTTTCAATTTGGTCTCTAGGCCACGGGTAGCTGCAGATTTGATGCATGGAAGGGTGAGGATCAGGAGAATGCTTCCGGTGAACCAGCCGGGCTGACGAGGGCCCCCATTGTGTCCTTCCCATGAAGCAGACCTCGATGATACCCGAGTGAAAAGCCGAAAGAGCACGGAAGCAGTGCTCAATCTATGATAGTCTGGAAAAAAGGCAGAGTTCAGGTATCAATGAAGGAGTATCTTTCAAAGTACAGTGACAGAACCTCTTCAACCCACCTACGGCTATATCTTGTCGTCGAGAGGTCGCACCGCCAGGCACGAAAACGCCGACAGAGAGATCCTCGCGTTGAATAATTGCCACATACGACAATAGCACTAACAACAACCAGATACAAGTTTAGCTCTTTCACCACCCAACCACCCATAAGCGGACGGAGAAGAAAGAGGAGGGGGGGGGGTGTAGTCTTTCATGAACCATCAGGATCTGGGCGGACAGCAAGCAGCCTCCCACCCCTTCTGACTACATAAACGGACCATGTTGTCAACCTGGGAGATAGAGAGGAACGGGAAATTCATCTCCCCACATTTGAACGTCTCGGTTTTTTTGTCTCAGACTTTGCGCAACCACCCTTCTCATGCGCGCGCAGTTGCCTTGGGATCAGAGGACTGACCGACGTCCTCCGAGCTGACCTTTTCGCCCTCCAAGGAGGTCCTGAAGTAGTTGGCTTTAACCTACGTGTGTTCTCTAGTCACTTGTTGACATCCTGTGCCACCGGTTTCGAAAGTTACGTCTTTGAGCTTTTCAGCCCTCGACCATACTGTCTGTACGATCCAAGCCACATCTGGGTTGGTGGTATGTATATATTACCCACGCATCCAGATCCTGCACCTCTCGTCCTCTTGAGAGAATCTTCGGCGCCTATCTTCTCAAATATTCTACCTACAAATATTTACGGATTATACTGAGAGCTACTGCTTCCGTCCTGAGATTCGACCTCACGAAACGCGGCGAATATCTTTCACCCCATCACAGAGACGCAGACAAGCTCTTCATCGACTTTCTCCGTTAAATACGGGAAAGTCTATTCTTCATCTGTAAGTTTCTTCTTCTTCATCTGGCCATTTCAAAGATTGAACACTGTGGCATGGATGACCCGGCCGCTCTTCAGACTTGGATCTTGTCATCATTTACATTTGGGACGGGGCTTTCTGAGCTCCCATTTGCTCGCCCACACTCGAGTGATAAACCTCATGGAGATCGACATGGTTAGACTGATTTCTATCGACAACTAGGGACTACAATCGACCAAAGAAGCTGCTAGTCAGTGCTCCACAGCTTCCTGAAACCCCAGAACCTCGCCAGCCAGACGGTGCACAGCATTGGGGCAAGCTTCTGCTTTCAACTCGTGCTATTGAAGGCAGGTTGCTACATTTTATAATTTATTCTGCCGTCTTCATTGAATCAACCATTTGCTAAATTGAGGAGCATGCCGCCTTTGGGGGGTCACTCTCATGGTTTCAAACGAACTGACTGGACAGCAAGTTTACAGTCTCAAAATCTACCTCTTTTTCAAGCAACCTATCACGTCGACAACAGATGACAGGGGCATTTTTGGAGGTCAGATTTAGCCCTGAGGCAGCTGACACTGCAAGCACTGATTGCTGTACAGATTGTCAAAGACGTTGGAAACGAGCATCACAGCACCGACTCGAACTTCTACTGCAGTGGCGTACCATTCGGTGTGCCAGTAAACGGCGGTATGAGCCATAAGGTAGGCCTGATTTCTTCTGATACTTAATTAGTCCCATGGCTGTCGGCTGTGCTGGATTTGGAGATCCTTCATGAAAGACGGGCTGAGGGCCAGGGCCTGAATGCCGCAGCCGCTTCGCGCAAGTCGGCCAAGTCGGCCAACCCAACAAAACACCAGCATTCAAGTATCCCGCTACGACGACATGAGCCATGAAGAACATATAAGAACTTGGATTATACTGGCTAGTGTGGATTGAAAAAGGGTTGGTGTCTTGTCGTGAGGTGAGTCGCTCAGCTTTTTTTCATCCTTCAGAAGCGCAATTCGCGATTGCGGAAGGCTTCGTGAAATTGTGGCAGACAAACCTGGCTTTCTTTCGCGACCCAGGGCAGACGTGCTTTTGGGTGGTGGGCCAGACACCAGAGATGCAGTCTTCAGTGGTTCCGAAATGCCTTTGCTCAGACTGCCTCTTCTCCCCAATCATCTTCTTTGCTCAGAGACGGTACTGCAAGAAAGGGTAGCCTGCCCTTCAGAATGCACTCTCGTGTCTGTGCCTGGTATACCTGGTTTGCTCTCCGGCACTGGTTCCATGTACCAGCGGGGGACTGCGAGGTACTCAGTTGTACTCTTTCGCCCCGAGGACACAGTGCTCCGGCACTAGTTTGTCAGGCCGCCAGCCTGCTTGAACAATGCCCTCACGCTCAGCCTTCCCACCGCCCTCTGACAGTGCTTCAAAATCTGGCTCGAGTCCAGTATTGTACCGTCAGGAATAGTCTCGCTAACAAACGGGTCGTTGTGATTCACAGGTCACAGCCAGCTTGCAACGGCTATAAGCGCACGACCCCTGCCGGGCTGACACAGGTTCACAAGAGGCTGGATCATAGCTCCTTTTAGGATAATGCTTGCATGATCGCAATATCCACGAACCTAGGTATCTGAATTGAAAAGGCTGACCTGTATTGTTGCTATAGACGGACTACGAGCCATCTCCAGCTCCTCCTGGGCTGGAATATCTGGATATACAGCACCAAGGACATAACATACCGTAAGTTCCGAACTCCTATTGGTTTTGTTCGAGAGCCAGCCTGGCCGGCGGTAAGAGAATGCTAGGAGCCACTGGATTATTTCTTGCTGTCGGCTTAAAAGCCCACCATCTGCACGTCTGCTCCCTTTCTCACCCCCCCCCGGACACACCTTCACTGGCATAAGCCCGGAACCCCAACAACATCCTGACGTCTTCTTTTGCCCTACATCTTCATTGTCTCCTTGGTGTTCCCCGACGACGCGGCGAACCTACAACCCCCGATCCTAGTCACGCAAGCGGCCGATATGCGAACTCATGGGTAGCTGCTTTGGCACCGGGTGTGCTACCTAGATTCTGGACACTGAGGTCTCTGTCATTCCGCGATGTGTGGGCTCCCAGCTTCCGACCCTGTATACCGTGTCCCTGTGCAACTCCAGTGCTGGCAGTAGGACGAGTCGGTTGCACCGACACTGTGTCTTGCATGGGGTCGCAGTACAACAGTCACTGTTCCAACCCTTCAACCTTCCATGCCTGCAGCGAGGATCTAGCTGAAGGCGGCCCAGCTGACTGGTAATAGATACGACCACAGTACCAATGCTGCTTCTCTGTCAATAGACGGGCCAACTCAACCGGCGCCTGGACTGATAAATCTTTTTCATCCGCCAGTCTTGAACACAACAACACCATACTCCCCAGACGGGGGCGCTTTCTACACGTCCGCCTCCAACATATACCAGACCCTCGACGTCCGACCTCGCTTGGGATCGAAGTAGGTTCTGCCATGAGCTTTGGTCACTCTGAACCACTGGCCTTGGCTCCAGCTTGTGCGGTCGATGCTTGCTAACCGACATAAAGCATCGGCAATCCTCTCGGCTCGTCCCTTGGCCCTAGGACGACGGCATTGCCGCACCTTGGGACCCAAATCAGCACTCGAGACCAGTATTCGACAGCCACTCCGACCTTCAAGAGGCCAACTGAGCATTTGTCGAGGTCTCCCTCCTTTACAGCCTCTGTAAACAGACGACACCCTCTGTCGCCGACACCCAGCCCCATCACCAATTTTACGAATGCCGTTAGAATGGACCAATACTCTTCAAAGACCCCGGCCAGCGTGCCACCTTTGAGTTCGATCACCACTTTGGGCAGCCTTTCGTACGCCGATGCGTCGTCAGCGACGGGAACACTATCAGTCAAGATAGAGATCCAGGGCAACATCGACAAAGGCTTCTTCCAGTCTGATTGCGAATGGACGTGCTACAGGCGTAATTACTTCTCTTGCATCTGTTCTTACAGCCTGTCACCATACTATCCTTCCCAGCCTTTGCAATTTCAGCAACTCGGCTCCAAGCAGCCACTCACCGTCTTCGGATTTGCCATGTCAATTTCGGCGGTCGTTGCCGATAATGACAGCCACACCATCGAACTTGTTCAGCATACGCCGAAACGAGACAAGGGACCTATTGCGAAGCCTGATAAGGTTCGTCTCGTGCCAAAGCCGCCGCAGCCTGTTCACCATCCTCTCGGGCTGTACGCACATGATTCAGGGATGGGAGGGCCATCAAGAATGGGGTATCCGGACGCTTTTAGCGGCGGCCATCCTGCAGGCGATGCATACCAGAACGAGCATACCTTTGAGAGAATCCAGTTCAAGCAGGCCACGGCGAATAATGGGAAAAGACGAGCTGCGCAGCAGTACTACCACCTCGTCATTGAGCTCTGGGCAGACGTCGGCTCACAAGCAGCCGAGAAATTTGTCAGGGTTGCTTATCGGAAGTCAGCAAAGATGATCGTGCGGGGCCGGTCCCCCGGGCATTACCAAGGAGAAAGACGCGGAAGCACGAGCAGTGGACCGGGCGGTTCTGGGGGGAGCATGGGCGGGTTCAGTGGCGGACCGATGATTCCTCCCGAATTCCCACCTTCCGGGCCGTCGATGGGCCCAGCATACGGTAACCACTTTGAACCGAGGGGAGGGATGAGCAGTTTTGGACCAGCACGCCATCACCACGAAATGGCGTACGAGCCCATGATCCCCCATGAGGATATCAAGCCCCTTGACACAACAAAGGGATACCAGTATTACCCAGGACCGATGTATGAGGGGCCGCACGGCGAAAAGGGTGGTATCGACGTGTTTCACCCACACCGAAATGGACATGAAGGCGCCTTGCCCCATATGGCAGCCAGCCTCGAGCCACCACACGACAGATTCAAGAGGGATCCCGAGGCGGACATGCTATCGGGTCGATTCATGCCTGGGCCGCTCGCAGTCAGCAACCGCTGTAACACGTATGAAGGCAAAAGCACCTCAACAGGCTACTATCCTACGGCAGTGCCACCGAGCACCATCAACATTGCCAACATCACTTAGTCTCCTGGTCATCTCACGATACCAGGTTTCCGTACAAGACAGCGGCAGACGTTGATCAGCACAATCTTCAAGACAACTGAAGGGCCCGATTGCTGCACAAGAAGACAATGGGAATGGGTATGGCTGGCGTTTGGGCGTCACTTGTGGGTTCGAATCACGGTGAAGGAAAAAGGAGGGAAAGGCCTGTCGCAACACTGGCTGGGATGACACCAAGGGCAGAAAAGATCTTCTCTTAATCTCGAGACACGGTGGGCTGGCAGGAACGGCTTCAGAGGAAATTTGGACGCGAAAACTGAGACGAAGTAACGGGACGACGAGCGAAGAATATCAAGAGAGTGAATACCCGGGGTGCGCTGATTTTATATTTCTTTATCCGTCACTCGCTCTTCCAGAAGTAGCGTCACTCGATGTCGCCATCTCTTCTATTGTTTCTCCTGTTTTCTTCTTCTTATTCTCGGTAGTTGAACATGGACAGACAGTCGGTGCGATTAAACCAGGAATTGGTGCACTGGGAGAGGACGGGGATGTACGAGAGATGGTGACGAGTGGGTGGACCACGAGCACGAACAACAAGATGGGTCGGCGGACAAGGGGATAGGAGCCACGCACCGAGGCGCATTAGCAGGGCAATGCCGGTGTATGGTATGTTTCGACCTCGGGCCGGGAACGAACGTTTTGCTCTTCTCCTAACAACGAACCACTGACTTTGCCATTTTCTGTTTCTTCGGCTCACATACTTGGGAAAATTCGATCACGGTGTCGTTGCGGCGAGTGTCCCATGCTGTGCGGCGTGGTCAGTCTAAACGACTCGCGTCGGGCACGACAGGCGAGCTTTCGGGCCCGAAAACGCTAGAAGGGAAGCGGAGGGCCTTCCTCCTCCATCGAGAGGGGGGACGCTATGTGCAGCCAACACCGGATGCGAATTCCCCCTCGCAGCTCGAACGAAGGGCTTCACCTCTCCTTTCTCCGGCGGGGCGATTCAGCGAGACATTGCCGTGGTCGCTCGAAAGCGATGGCAGAATTCAGCCGTGACGCCCCCAAACTGGACGTCGGGCTCTTAGCCGGCCACGTCCATACACCTGTGCCCACTGTGCCCCTCCAGCCTGGTTTCGAGAGAGTGACAGTTTAGTTTCCTGGGTGATGGCCTAGGGTCGTTGGCTTGCGTGTTTCTCGCTGCGAGACCCGGTAGCTGTCCTGAGGGCGTGCAACTGCAGGTCGCATACAATGCGTGACAGGGGGTGAGGCATCGCAGCCAGCACCCGTAGGGTCAGACAACGACCCTAGCCGATCGTGCCCGGTGAGCTCTGAGTCCAATCAAGCCGCAATACGATACAGGATGAAGCCATAACACGCAGAAGACGTTGCTCACGCAACCTCGCACCTCCTCAGATGACTTTGGAATGCCGCAAAGGCGAAATAGGGGCGGGACTGCAGGATGTTCAATTAAGGTTTTCGCACTTGTCGAAATCCGGGCGCGGCTCGGGATTGACTCGGAGCATTTTGACTCAGAGCCCTCACATCACTCGACGATCGATGACTGCCTGAGCGGATGATCATAAGTGGAGGGGGAAGAAGGGGAAAGGGAAGGGTCCACTTGAGGGAAGGAGCATCATCCCCAGGAGGAAGGAGGCATGAGTTGGGAGAGAAAGAGCCATCGTGTAGCAGGCGACGGGAAGAAGGCACACAGCTGACCAGAACAAGGCGAGGCAGGAAAGAGGGGACGGCACTGTGGCCTGTGACTGCCCTGCCTTGGTCAATTCCACTACAGAGCGGACACGCCTGCCTGGAAAATTCGATGGCGGGGTGGCTAGGCCCTAGGCCCTGGAAGCCAGGCGCAAGAGCGCTATTTTCGGCCTTCTCTGGCGGCCTGTCAGGTGGTTACTTCCCATAAGGTAGCTGCAGGCCCAGCGCGACCAGGCCTTTCTGATCAAGTGTCAGTCTACCTCGACGCACAGCACCTCACCTTCTTTGGCCTTCTGCCGTTCCCTTTCACCTACCACCTGACCTAGGTACCTACCTCCAAGCCGCTGGATGCTTTGCCCAGCTTTCCCACACACAAACAGGGTGCACAACACTCACACGTACCAGGGGAGCACCTGATCTTAGGCGCAAGACCCTATCCTCAACGGATTCTGCCTCAGTTCGGTCCCTCGCATGCCAAACACATCACTAATAAGATAAGCAGGCGAATCCAAATGGAGAGCCAGACCGAAGCCCAGGAGACAGTTGAGAGAGGTGTGCGTCAACTCTCATATCGTCCCGAATGGAAGAGGCTCGTGCTGACGGTCCAGCCCGACTCTCCCGCTGTCAGGAACCTCAGAAGAACCATCAAGTACCTTTCCGTACCTCCATATCCTCGTCTCTGGCCTCGTCTCTGGCAAAAGACGTGCCGTCGCCCCCCACCACCGACCTCGTCTCGTTTGCAGCGCATGCAACCCCTGTCGTCCAAGAGTCCAGCTCCATCCTCCCTGGACCACCCGTCACGCGTCGGAATCTACGACGACAGACACGGCGCACTACTTGAGGCTTTCTCCACCTAGCTGCTCGGAAGTAACCGCAGCATCGTGAATGTCGTGGCCTGCATCAACACCACCGAGTCTGGTCAGCCAGCGCCTCTGTAACCATTGTCGGGCGAAGCAGCTCGGTCGACTTGCTTTTCCTTCTTTTCATTCACGGACCTCCTGCACACGGACCCATTCAACGTGTCGAATGCTGTAGTCGTCAGTGGCCCCAGTAGACTGCGTCAGTGGCACGCCTGACAGAAATATCGTCCCGCACGCGACAATCCTCGGGCGCCCGTTTCACGAACCGTCATTGCTCAGCCTTACACGTCTGAGTCTTCTCCAATCTTGCTGTCTCAGCCAGATGGCTAGCCCACTGACCATCCACCATCTCTCGATATGTCTCACCGCATGCAGACCAACCAGCCTTGGGCACCATGATGCGAGGGTGCCTGCTGCCATCGCGCGTGAGAAGGTGCGAAACGCAGACGTGGATCGTTCTTAGCCATCTACCCAAGGAATCCTCCGTCCACATGGGTACCGACACTGGCCCTCTCGTCCATGCCGACCGCCCGGGACATCGTCGCTCACGGCCTACATCTCCTCTTGCTGCCTCTGTGGCCCAATCGGAAGAATCCTGTGGCGACAAGCTAGCCAGACGCCCCCAAGAGCCCACCCCGTTCCGTTGACGGCGGTGTGGAGGGCTGCTCATTCATCTGGACCGTGCAAAAGCTGACTGGTTGGCCGTACTCGCCTTCACAGGCACATTCGGAACAGGGTAAAAACGCCTCATCAACTCGCCATGGCCACCCGTGCTTCCGATAACCGTCACAAGCATGGCGTTGTGGCTTGTCCGATCGGGAGCCGCTACGCATTGGGATTGGCTCCATGATCCCAGCACGTGCAGCACTGTGCCAGACCAGCACCACGCAGCAGAAACAATGCAGGCCGGGGAAAGGCATCGCCCTCACCAGGACAACACGAGCACATGCGTTTGATTTGGGACTGGGCCCGAGGCCACGCACCCCAACGCCTCGCGGCTCCTCCCACCCATGCCACTGACGAAGGCCTTGGCAACATCGAAGGCTCACCAGGACTTGACGCCAGTGTTTCGAGCTGGGCAACAAGACCTTTGACCTACACCGGTCTGGCGTTGCTGGAGGGTCCCCGCCCCCCTGACCGGGAGCCCTTTTTTTGCTTGTCGAAACCGGTGTGGCGAAAGTGTGGATGTGAATACACGCTGCTGCTGCGATGGCCCTCCCACACCCCCATATGCCAGAGCTCAAGCATTGTGTGCATCGCTAGCCGGGGTAGGCAAAATACAACCGCTGCCGGGCGCCATACCAAGACTCTCCTTTGTTCACCGGTCCCAGCTGCTCGAGACGCTGCTAGGCCTTTGCCATGAGCCATATCCCAGCGTCAGGCCAACAGAACCATCGCGCCTTGAGGCCACGATGAATGGGCGTTGAGGATGGCCAGAAGAGGTTGTCAGCGAGCCTGCTTGTGTAACCACCCAACATCCGGTCGGTCTGGGCGATCTGCCTTGCAGCAGCTGATCAGCAAAGCCAAGTCGGGTGCTGACTTGCTCCTCTCCCGTCGGCTGCCTGCCGTGCTGAGGGAGGGCGAAAAGTATCCAGTGTTCTCATCCTCACTCGCCTCATTCTCAGAGGTTTGGATGATGACGGGGCCAGTGGCTCACTGACTCACATAGAGCAATGTAACCCACACAGGCCCACTTGTTCTGCTTGACGTCGCCTTCGCTGCGACCATGTGGGATCCTCGGGAGACGACCCAAGGTGCATCGGGACTGGGGCAACCATACGTGCCACTTGGCAACCTTCTCGAACATGTTTTGTCGGATTCCACTGGAGGCATAATCAAACTTGAGGCTTTGCATATCTCGTATCTTGCCATCTTCCAGCTTCAAAATCAACATGCTCATCCTTTTAACAGGCCGGTACCTATAATGCAACAGCCCAAGACCGGGTTCCTACCGGAATGTGCTTCGGCACCCAGGTGGCCTGTCGTACAGGAAGCGCCGCGCCCGCCCACGAGAATGACACTCTGCCAATGATGGAAGCCGGCGAAAGGAGGGCCGTTCAAGGGGCAGCGCTAGCAACACGGTAGTGCGGCAGCACAGCATGTGGCCTTCACGGGTTGGAGCAGTGTACAATTCGGCAGGCAAGGATCTTGCGGTTTTGGGGATGAAGTCGCACGGGGAAAAGCCACCAAGATCTTACTGGGACGCCGTCGCACGAGTGATTTTCTTTTTCCGTTTCCGCTTTTGCTCTTGAAACTTGAAATTAGTAGTAGCCATCGCTGTGCAATCCTCAACTTCGAGCGAGGGCGGCTGTGGCCATCTGACATGCATCGGATTCCAGCGATGGCAGGCGGCGCCTGCTCGACCTGAGAACGTCGAACCGGACTTGGGTCGGAATTCTTTTTAAAGACATGCAAGAGTTCGCAGTCCTCCAATGCGGTCCGAGACGCATGGTGTAGGATCGCAATAGATCCATGGCCGACAGGTCCGGCTAGTGACCTGTACTGTGATGAGTCAAAACTGAGAGTGACCTGGCTTCAGACTTGAACTATACCCGGCGCTCCTTCGACAGATACGGGGGGCTTGCCCTGACGGCGTTGCGAAGTAGTCCGCTCTGTTACGATTAAGATGTGGTATCTGACTGAGTTTTTGCCACCAGGTATAAAGCTCTTTATATGATACATGTGTCGGCCCGCACTCTCTCTATGAGCAGATGCGACCTCATCTCCCTTCGAAAGATGGCATCCGACATTCTTACGACCTGGCACATCTCGACAGCGTCATGAACCCGCACGACGTCGGCGCCGCCCGAGACGGCCGCGGCGACGGTGGCGGCGGTGCCCCAGATGCGCTCTTCGGCCTTGGGAACGCCAGTGACGCGGCCGATGAAGCTCTTGCGGCTCGAGCCGACGAGCCAGGGAAAGCCCTCGAGGCCAGGCCAGGCCCGCAGCTCGGGCAGTCGGCTCAGGAGTTCGAGGTTCTGCTCGCCCACCTTGGCGAAGCCGAGGCCGGGGTCGAGGACAATGCGCCAGCGGCGGATACCGGCGGCCTCGGCCTCGGCGACGCGTTCAAGAAGCTCGCGGGCGACGGTGGGGACGAGGCCGTCGGGGTAGTCGTTCAGAGACGACATGGTCTGTGGGGTGCCGCGCATGTGCATGAGGCAAACGGTGGCGCCGGCGCGGGCCACGAGGGGCAGCATGTCGCGGTCAAGCTGGCCGGCGGATATGTCGTTGACAAGGTCGGCGCCAGCGGCGAGGGCAGCCTCGGCGACGGGGGCGCGGTACGTATCGATGCTGATGGGGAGGTGGGCGAGCTCAGGGATGGAGCGGACGAGACGGATGGCCGGAACGACGCGCGCGATCTCCTCTTCGGCCGACACGTCGGGGCGACCCGGGGCTGAGGACTGGCCGCCAATGTCGATCATGGTGGCACCGGCGGCGTGGGCGGCAAGGAGAGTGTCCGGCAGGGACGCCGAGGTGTGAACGCCGCCGTCTGAGAAAGAGTCGGGGGTGATGTTGACGATGGCCATGACATGTGTTTTGCGGGTCGGCGTGAGGGCCGTGATGAAGGGCGCCGGTGCCGGTGCGAGGGGCGTCAGGGGGGAAAGAGGAGGATGAGAGGGAGTGAGCTCATTGAGGTAGTCCTGGGTGAGCTTCCAGGGGTTTGAGGCGTAGAGGGGTTTGGCGGGGATGAGCCTGGATCGTTGTCAGCTGCCGGTTTGTCTCTGTCCAGGCGTGCTTGGGAATGATGCATTGTTCAAAGCAACAAAAAGATTCAGAACATACTCGGCTAACGGTCGCAGCACAAACTCCCTTTCGGGAATGCCGACATGAGGGACGGTGAGACGGTCATGGGTGATCTTCTCATCGCCGTACAGAAGAATGTCGAGGTCGATGTTCCGGGGCCCCTTGTCGACGAACTTTTGTCGACCCAGCGTCCTCTCGATATCCTGCAGGACGTCCAGCAGGGCGAGGGGCTCCAGCGTTGTCTCGACCTGTTCACATGGTTGAGCAAACAGAAAATTATTTCACACACAGGGGGGTCAGTTCTTCGAACAGCAGGCAGACGAACCTCACATGCTCCATTGACGAATCTATCTTGCTCTAGGACGTACATGGGCTCCGTCTCCCACAGGCTGCTGGTCCTCTTGACGTGGACGCCGCGGGCCTCCATCTCGCGGCAGGCCTTCTCGATCCAGCCGATCCGGTCGCCGAGGTTGCTGCCGAGGGCAATGTAGGCGGTGACGGTCTTGGGCTCGGCGGGGCCGGCGGAGGCGCGACGGCCGCAGCCGCAGCCGCCGACGGGTCTGCCGTCATCCTCCATGACGGGGCTGCTCGTCTTGAGGCGCTTGGTGCTGCCGGGTTCGGGCGCCGCCGACTTGTTCGTGGTGGGGCCGAACGGGGCCGTGGTGGTAGTCGTTGTGTTTTTGGCTACTGGCCAGGCGTGCTTGGTGAAGTGGTGTCGACGGGGAGCGTGACGGCAGACGGCAATGGGCACCTGGTGAGGGCAGCGGACATGGCGGAGCGAGGCCGACTGAGAGCAGCCTCTATGCAGAGTGGAGGCAAATGAGGTGAGTGATTTCATGGTCGACTCGCCTCACTTCTTGGGATGGACCTCGACCTGTCTCTCAGCGCTTGATTTTTTTTTTTTTTTTTTTTCAGCGGGCGCAATTCGCTTGAGAATCTCCGATGTCTGGAGGGGATTGGATAATCGAATTGGACGTGCTTATTTGGATGTTAACCGTGATAGTCAGCAATCGGATTCGTGCAATACGGATTCGCGCATCTTAGTCATCTTTGAAGTGCCAGATTCAGCTGCTGAGTGCCAGATGCCAGACCAGACACCAGGTGCCAGACAGTCCAGACAACAATGGGCCTTTGGGACGGGAGGGGAAAGAAGCTTGATTTGAGAGATGCAACATGGGCCCTGCATTCTCGCCATGTTCCTCGAAAGAAGGTTTATCATGTCTCGTGTGCGTTTCCCTGCGCCATTCGATCCTTGGGGTTTCCCCTCTCGATCTGCCGACCTCAAACTCCAGACCTTCAGATCTAGGCTTGCCAGGCTTGCCAGGCTCGCCAGGCCACGCGCACATTCGTTCCTCGGCAAACCTTCCCCAGATCTCAACCGGGTTCACGCCAGGCTGTTTGCGGCATAGCCCCAGAGATCACAGGTGAGCCTCGGTTCGGCCTGAGGTCCAACTGTGGATGTGGGGGAATGCATCAGGACAGAGCAGCGACCGCGGCCGTCATTCGACACGAGGGCAGCGCTCCGCCGTCCTGGTGACGCCCTTTAAACAGAAACCATCCTCCGAGATCCTTTCCTCGTCTTTCTTTCCCGCCCAACACAAACAACCACCTCTTTTCATTTTTAACCCCCCCTCATTCTTCTCAGCGATCCTCTCTGTCTTCCTTGCACACAGAGCCATCTTTGTTGTTTGATCCTCCAGATACCCCTATCACCCATCTCTTTCGCCCCCCTCTCCCCACCTCCAGAAAGCAGACACAATGGCGTCTCCTCGTAAGTGCCACACCCACTGTCACATGCGCGCGTTTGGCAAGATGGCCCAGAAACCCTTCACCCCCACCCTCTTGCGATGGAGAGCAAGAAGAACAGCGCGCTGACATGAAATCATATCCAACAGAGAAGATCCGCACCCCCATCACCGATCTTTTCAAGATCAACCACCCCATCCTGCTCGCCGGCATGAACGTCGCCGCTGGCCCCAAGCTGGCTGCCGCCGTCACCAACGCCGGCGGCATGGGCGTCATTGGCGGTGTCGGCTACACCCCCGAGATGCTCAAGGACCAGATCGCCGAGCTCAAGGAGCACCTGACGGACAAGAACGCTCCCTTCGGCGTCGACCTGCTGCTGCCCCAGGTTGGTGGCAGCGCGCGCAAGACCAAGTAAGCCATGCTCCTTCGCCGCTGACGCTTGGCACTGGCACGTGCCGGGCGTTCTGTCTCTCTCCCTCCCTCTCTCTCTCTCCCTCTCTCTCTCTCTCTCTCTTCTCTCCACACCCCCGTGGCGCACCCCGCTGACCTCTTCTCCAGCTACGACTACACCAAGGGCAAGCTCGACGGCCTCGTTGACATCATCATCGAGTCTGGCGCCAAGCTCTTCGTCTCTGCCGTGGGTGTGCCCCCCAAGCACGTCGTCGACAGGCTCCACGCCGCCGGCGTTGTCTACATGAACATGATCGGCCACCCCAAGCACGTCAAGAAGTGCCTGGAGCTCGGCGTCGACATCATCTGCGCCCAGGGTGGCGAGGGTGGCGGCCACACCGGTGACGTCCCCACGACCGTCCTCATCCCCGCCGTCGTCGACCTCGTCAAGGGCCACAAGTCCCCCGTCACCGGCGGCCCCGTCCAGGTCGTCGCCGCCGGCGGCATCTACAACGGCCAGACCCTCGCCGCCGCCCTCATGCTCGGCGCCAGCGGCGTCTGGGTCGGCACCCGCTTCATCCTCACCGACGAGGCCGGTGCCCCCAAGGCCCACAAGGAGGCCGTCCAGACGGCTGGCCACGACGACAACGTCCGCACCATCATCTTCACCGGCCGCCCCATGCGCGTCCGCAACAACCCCTACATCAACAACTGGGAGACGGAGCGCCAGCAGGAGATGCGCGACCTCGCCGGCCAAGGGCACCATTCCCTAC